TAAGCATTGTTACCATCACAACAAACATCACAAGAAACAAATTATAAGCATTGTTAGCATCACAACAAACATCACAAGAAACAAATTATAAGCATTGTTAGCATCGCTAGATTGCAAAATCAAATTCCAATCAACATTATTTTCTAAATAGTTTTTAAAATGGTTTAAGGAATTTTCATTAATCTGTCGCCGGAATATTGTGGATTTTGAGGCAATATTGTTAATTAAAATGTTATTGGTAGCTAAGAATGTAGAACAATTTAGTTAATAAGTGGCAAGAATGCTTGGATAAAGGAGGTATAGCTGGTGCTATGCCTATGGATTTATCAAAGGCATATGATTTAATTCCAAGTTATAGATTTTCTCACGATAGCCTGAAACTCTTATTATCCTACCTTTCTGCTCGCAAACAGAGGGTAAGATTAGGATCGGAATCAGTTTTGGAACCATGTGAATCTCAAGGCTCAATTTTGGGACCAATTTTCTTTATTATTTTTATCAGCAATTTTTTCTTATTTATAAATGACTCTGATATCTGCAACTATGCTAATGATAACGCTCTCTCTGTTTGTGACAACAACTTAGAGAGTGTTATTGCTCGTCTTCAAATAGAAACATTAAATGCGATTTCATGGTTTACTTTGAATAAAATGGTTGTAAATCCGGACAAATTTCATTTTTTTTAGTTGGCTTAAAAAATTGTAATGATAAACTTTTAATTGTCGGAAATGTAAAAATCATGGTTTCCTCTAAGGTTAAATTTCTCGGGGTTACAATTGATAAAGATTTGAAATTTAATAATCATATTAAAAATCTTTGTGGAAAAGCGATTAGTAAATGCTTTGCTCTCTCATGAATAAGGAGCTTCTTATCACTAAACAAGCTAATATTTTATTCAATGCTTTTATACGTCAAATTTTTTATATTGTCTTTTGATTTGGATGTTTTGACAATAATAACCTAATTAATAAATTTCATCCTAAAGGACTGTTGAACTTATTTTATTAGCAAGATTTAGACCAATATTTATAAAATGTTTGTTAAATTCTTCGGATTTTTGTTTTTTTACAGAATATGTCTGTATTGTTAATATTAATTCTTTTTTTGAAGAAGTTGAATTTATTTTTCTCCTTCACGTTATCTCATTAATGATTTAATGATTTCATTACTGTAGTATTTATTTTTAGCTTTTTTAATAAGAATTTGGTAAAAATATTTATAATTTTTGTAGTTTATCTCATTATTAGTGTTTTTATTTTTTAGAAATTTATTATAGAGTTTTTGCTTCTTTTTGGAGCATTTTATCAGTGTTTTATCCATCCACGGATTAGCAACTACTTTTATTTTAATTTGTATGTCCTCTTGAGGACAGGTTTCATTAAAGATTTCTAGGAATATATCTAAAAAATTATTGAAAGCTTCATTAGTTTCCTGACATCTATACACGTTGGACCACGTTTCTTATTTTAGTCTAATTGATAATTCATAAGTATTAGGGGAGAGTTGCCTTAATTGGAGCACTTAAGGAATAAATATTTATTACCCAAAGATGGCTTAACTATGAAAACATTTATGATTTGATTAATACAAACAGACATTCCTACTTTACTTTTAACCACAATTTGTCTTAATTGATTACACTGTTATTGGAAATAAGTTTGTTTTTGCATAGTTACCATTTTGTTCCAATCAAGGTTTGGTTGCCTAAATTGGAACACTTTTATTCCTTCATCAGAACATATTATTATTTTAAAAGAAGAAATCGAGTAAAATCAACAAAAGTTTGTAAAAAATAATTTTTATTTTTACAGTGAAACTTTAAACAGTTATGTCAAAACTTATTATAGGATTAGTATTACCCTGATAAACTAAAAGTCTACAAACAAAAAATTTTATAAATCTTCAACTGTTATGACGTTCTCTAAACTTATTGATTAAAAATCACTAAATAAAGTATTATTTTTAAGGTTTATAGTTATTACTAAGTATTTTTTTAATTGCACTCAAACTACTTTTACAACCCTTTGATTTTATTACTGATTAGGGAAGGAAAACTTCAATGTTCCAATCAAGGAAACTTTCGACTATTTTGTTATATTACTACAATAACATGCTTGCAGCAACTTATAAGATAAGTTTTTATTGTTATTTTGCATTTTAAATCCCATCGAATTAAACACAAAAAACGGTATAACCTGTAGCACCATAGTTTACCCAGCGCAATTAATGTAGTGTCAACACAAAATTAGATCGCTGAAAAAAATGACTCAAAAAAACTTTAAATTAATGGTGCAAACGCATTTTTTGTGGAATAACTTTTAAAACGTGTCAAAACGTAGAAAATAATGCGTTTTACTAAAAAAATGAAAAATATAGCCATAATTAATTTTTTTTCAAAAATAAATGCAAGTTTTCCAATTAAGGCGCTGTTCCAATTTCGGCAACTCTCCCCTACTTATTTTAAGGTTGTGTTTTTTCAAATTTATAACTTTTGGTTTACAATCAGACATGGATTTTAAATTTCTTACTTTTATAAATATCGGATTGTGATTGCTAATATTAGTCATAAATATCTCTGTTTCAAAATTTATTTCCAGGAATTATTAATGAAAATATTGTCAATTGTCGTTTCCAAAGTTTTTCACACTCGCGTTGGCTTATTAATTGCTGACAAGACATTAAATTTAGAAAGCATATCAAAAAAAGATTTTATTTTTGGAAATTTTGAATAAGTTAGAGCATCAAGATTTATGTCTCCAATAACGTACAAAATTTTATTTTCTTAATTTATTTTTCCAATTGTATTTTAGTTGATTCCCTAAACAGCAGATTGGTATAAAAATATCCAAAATCTTATATTTATGCAAGATGGTCCAACTTGCCAAACAGTAAAAAGTGTTATAACTTGTTTAAAACGGAAAAATATCGATGTACTGCCAGGCCCAGGCATTTCACCTGATCTTAACCCCATAGAAAACAATTGGGAACTAGTAAAGCGAAAGATTAGAAAAGAAATTATAAGCAACAAGAAAAATCTTACGGAAATGATTAACAGGATCTGGCACAACAACTAAGAGTTAAGAGAAACAATAAAATGTCAATTACGGGTATGCCACAACTCATCATTGATACTTTGAATATATATCATTCATATTTCTTGTAATAACCAATAAATATTAAAAATGATTAATTTTTTTTTGTTTATATTTTATCAAATAAAACTTTGATAAAATATAAACAAAAACGCCTAGCTAAGAAGTAATTGGAAGCCAATTACTTCTTAGCTAGGCGTTTTCTAAAAAAATTAGCTTGCCGTAAGCGGCGTTTTGTAGAAATACTACAAATCATACCATATAAACGTTTCATTTGTTCATTTATATCGACAGCTGTAAAAGAGGAATTTTTATTGCTTAGTTAATACTGATAATGTTTTGTTTTGCGTTATTCCTGATTGCTTTTAATTTTTTGTAGAAAATCTAGTAAGTTCATATCTCTTCATAAGCTGTACAATAAAAAATTATGAAGCTGTGCTCAGGGGTCGATGCAGGTGTATAGTTTACCCCGTAAAAAAAACGCCATACGCCATAATAGATAACTTATCTACACCCGTTGTGCAAATAAAAAAAATTGGGGTGGGGGTTGGTTAGCGGAAGGGGGTGTAAAGTTATTTTTTTCGCTATTGCATTAAGAAACCCATTTTCGTTTTTTTTTTTTATATATTTTGTTTTAGGTTTCCCAAGAAGTCCCAATGATCTTGTCAAAAAACACAGCGGAAGAGCATTTAACTAGAAAATTTACACCTCCTTCCTTACCGATAGCGCGGTATATGCCTAAAGCATGCTTTGAACAATGAGTTTTAAATTTTCGAAAAACCTTTGAACTCTAAGGTTTTTGGATCTTACCGAATATGCTTCTAAAGCAATCGCTCTAACTGCCGCTTTTTTAAGTTTTATAAATTATTATGATTATTAAGTTTTACACGCTAATTTTGTTTCTTATTAGTAAAAAATTGCATTTATGTTTTGATTTAACATATTTTTATGTTTTTATAAAATTCCTCTGGCTAGTTGTCAAACAGTGGTCAAGTACCAAGGTTCACAAAGCCAGAACATTTTCAGAATATCATATCTCTTTATTTTTAATCAAGTTAAAAACCTTTCATATAAACCTTTGACTTAAAACTTAACAGAACTTTATATTCTACTAATGTATTATGATTTAACAAAATATTTTTTTTAGAATAAAAATTTTTTTTTTAAATAATACTACTACTGTTCTATTTCTGCTGTCGCAGAATCTGTAAAGATAATTTTAGAATACTACTACTGTTCTATTTCTACTGTCGCAGAATCTGTAAAAAATTTTTTTTAAATAATACTACTGTTCTATTTTTACTGTCGCAGAATCTGAAAAATTTTTTTTAGAATAATACCACTGTTCTATTTCTACTGTCGCAGAATCTGTAAAAATTTTTTCAGAATAATACTACTGTTCTATTTCTACTGTCGCAGAATCTGAAAAATTGTTTTTAGAATAATACTACTGTTCTATTTCTACTGTCGCAGATTTTGTAAAAATATTTTTAGAATACTTTTGTTAAACCCTTATACAGCGGAGTACATTTGCAGTCATTCAAATTTCAATTGCTGCAGATGCTGCTAAGTGAACATTTTTTGAATACTTTTTTAAAAAATATATAAAGATTAGCAGTCTAATATTAGTCAGGTGGTAGACGTCATAATATCAATATTTATATTTATTTATTCTAAACATAATAGTAAACATAAAAACGGTTTAATTGGTATATAATATGTTGCTTTAGTGAAGCATTGCTGAAATATTAGTAAGATTAATTTTTTTTAGATGGTCCGAAAATATTTGGACACTACTGTATATTAATTTACTTTTTAAATCTTTTGTCAAGTTATAAGACATTAGGCGTAATTTATTGAACTAGTTAGTCACTCCTAACTAGATTCTAGATAACAAAGCAACTTTGATTTAACAGTGGAACAAAAACACTCTCAAATCCTCCCCCTTCTTTCTCTTTCCCCTCCCTATTACCTAACACACACACGCCAACTAAATTGATGTAAACAAAACATGTCGACAAAAATAATTTAAGAAAATTGTATAAATAAAAGACGTATTTTATCGTTGGTACAACTGGGATGTTCGTATATTAAAAAATTATTAAAAAAGAAATCGATCAAAGTTTTAATAACCACAATCAGTAGAGTTAAAAATAAAGTGTAAATGGCAAAAAAAGCTTAACGTAGACATCGGCCATTAAAACTCAGTGGTGGGTCTAGCATTTTTTGGTCTTTGAGATAGCTAACTTGCAGTGATGGAGCAAACTCCAAATATTTATATATTGATACTTATGTCAAATTAAGATGCTTCGCAAAAACTTGCGATGATTGATGCCTGAAAACAAAATACCCTAAAACAAAAATACCCAAATTACCCTAAAACAAAAATAATTTTGTGGCCCAGCCACAAAAGTGAGACTAACAAATTGATTAAATTTTTTTTTATTCTTAACCAGAATTATATTCATCAATGAATTTTAAAATTAATAGTAAAATATTACAACGTTTAAAAATTATGACCATATTAAGTTTGAACTCCTCGCAAGGGGGTTACCTCAAACTGATGTGTGTATGCATTTTTTCTCCTTTCTTTTTTCATTTTGCTGTTTGTTAAAAATTACAAAAAAGAATTTACAATAATACAAAATCCTGGCCAGAGCAAGAAGAACATCATGGATTTATTAAGATAAACTAAACAAAAATCACTATAAGAGATAAAAAACTATACCAATCTAACTGATTGTAATCAAAAATCCAAACATACAACTTGTAGTCAGTTTTTTTAGAATTTTTTATGACACATTTCAGTCGACAGATTTTTAGTGAGGACCTTTTTATAAAAAAGCACTCTGCACTTTTTAAACATTTCCCCCTCCCTCCACCCCTGTATTGAATTTCTAACAATGACCCTGGGACGAACATTCGTCGAGAACTTATAAATGAAGCGTTTATGTCTAAACACTGTATCTTTATATAAGATAATAAGGATCGTCAAATTATACATTCAAGAAAAACAAAAATTAAAAATTAACCAGAAAATCTATAAAAAATAATGTTCAAGAATTTAGGTATCTCAAAAAGTTTCACGTTATACTCGTAAACATTTTTGATTGCGGTTTTCTATATTGATTGGTTAGTGCTGAAAACCATGTTTGTGAAGAAAAAACAATTAATTCTTATATATATATATATAATATATATATATATATATATATATATATATATATATATATATATATATATATATATATATATATACAATTAATTCTTATATATATATATATATATATATTAAACCAATTTCTCTTTCTAATAGTTAAAAGTAAAATAAATCCAATGCTCCGTACAATCTGTTAGATATAGTAAAGTTTCTTAACTACTTCTGCTTTATCTTGCATTTGAAAACATTCCTTACTTTTTACTTTCTGGATTTTTACCTACCGTTTATAAGAGTTATTGCTTTTAACTACTTTCATTTTTTCAAGGCATTTGGTATTGGGTTTATGGCTGGGGCTGTATAAATATCGGTGCATATTAATATGATGTATAAATATAAGTCAATATGCACCAATATTTAGGCAGTCCCATTCGTAGAACCGGCCATGGCCACAGTCAAACACCAGCCCCGGTCGTTTACTATTGGTAGCAAGTAAAGATGAACATGTAGAAATTTTTTCTAACCAAGTTAGCAATAGTAGCATAGATTTAACTACGTTCATAGTGTAGAGTAGTTCATTTTCATGTTTATTTTAATGAAGTTAAGATTAGTAAAACTAACTAAAAAAAATGTTGTATACGTTTATAAAGTCTTGGTTTTCATTAGACATGATATGCTAAAGATTTTCAATACAACGGAACCTTCTTAAGCAGCACAACACTTAAGACCAACGTTGAGGCAGCGTTGGCCTAACAATTCCAATGTTTTTTTAAACGTTAGTCCAAAGGATTGTGCCGCTCAAGTTGGTAGGTTTATGTGAAAAATAATAATATTTTAACCAAATGTTTTTAAAACAAACCTTCTCTTGTACAAAATCCACAAGTTTTCCTGCATTTTATTTTAGCCCATTCAGCTGAAAATGCACAGCGCCCCATTGCTTTTTCTTTGATGCAATTGGGATCTACGTCTTCACATTTACAATTTGTACAGCCTACGTAATTTATTCTTTTTCCTGGGCAACTGTTTACTTCATAATCCTTTGACGAATTAATGCAATACCGTTCCATTCTGTATTGGCAATCAGCCTAAATAATTTATATTTGTTGAGAATTTTTTTATCAAGTTAAAAATTTAATTTCTATTAGTTAAATTATATACTTAGACTTAAAATAACACCTTAAATATTGTTCTTGTTGACAACATTTTTGGCTTAAATTTTTTATATTGTTTAGTTCAAACAAAGTAAAGCAACGAAATAAATTATAAGTTATGACATAAGTTTATACACAATATGAGAAAATCAAAGTATTACAATTTTTTTTTTTTTTACATATTTGCTTTATTAAAATATAACATTGAAATAAGTTAAAATAAATTCAGATTATACGTTCCTAGCCTTCACATGAGGTTTTAAAAGCTGCGTGCTTTTATTACTGGTTTTTACATTGGTTACAAAAACTTTGCCTAATATTATACTGCGTTCCCTTAACGGTGAAACCGTTAATATCCATAGCATAAATATTATTAATTGTAAAGTGAAAACATTATTCAATATTCTGGTAAAGAACATTGAAAAGGCATATGTACAATCAATTTAGAGCAGCCGTGACGAAGTGGTTAGACCACATCAACCAAAAGGGCAGAGGTTCGACGCCAGCTCTAACCCAACAAACAACATTGGTACAGATGGAGACGTGAACTTCTTTTTAAATTCTCTCGCGCGGTGCTCTGTGAATAGACCGTAAGGACTTCTGGGAACACCGAAATTACTACAAAAAATATAAATAATAAAAAAACAATTTAATGTTATGATTAAAATATACTGTAAATTTCTTGCATAAACACAAAACTCTCTTACAAATTCTACTGACAGTTTACATTAATTTATAAACCTCATATATAAATATTAAAACCTGCGTAAACATATTTTAATAGCACTTGAACAGTACATAAATATTTACAATAATTGTCAATTAAAAAGCCAATCTACTTGGCATAAAAAATATTCTAACATTTTACGTAAAATAATCACATTCCTCCTTGACCCTTGAGGGTCATACAAATAGTAATAAATTTTTTAAAAATGCATCACTTTTGATCGCTTCATTTCAAAGGCATGTCTGTTCCTTGAATATTATTTTTGGCTTCTTTGGCACTTTGCTTGCTTCGGAAACATCTTTACTTTGGTCTTCACTGCTTTTCACAATCTTTTCACATTTGTCGCCCACATCTGATTTTTAAGAGATTTATGTTAATATACAACTAGGAAATCCACTTTCAATTCAAATCCATTACTTATTGACGCTAGACATTTAAAACGATATATTATCTGGATTTTTAAAATCCAATTTCGACCAAAGGATGCATTATTTGGGTTATATTTATGAATTTGTTTGTCTTTCAAGTAAACATCTGCCTTTTCTTTAATTTTTATACTTTTTGTTTACTTTTTTAATAATGATTCTAATTTTACTTTTAATAGTTTCACAATGTTAACCTGGTATATTTTGGCAATTGACAACCTTAACTTTTACATATAAATTTGTTCAACAAGTTAAGCCAATTGCCTAAAAAAAATGACATTAAAAACAATGTTACGAAGCTAAAACCAAATATGTATCATTGTGCCTACTGGATCTGTTGACTGAAACGGTTCGCAACTATTACCATTATTATTATTTTAATACATATCATTATCATTTCTTCCTTTTTTACTTCCTTATTTAGGATCACTTCATGAAAAAAGGTCATTATCAGCTTGCTCCAAAATGTTCAGTTTTCTTAATTATACTCAAAATAGATTTAGGAACCGTAGCTATTTCTCCAACACAGTTTTATAGATGATCATCACCAGCAAACTTATTTGACCGTCTGCTGCAAACTTTTGTTAATGTGTATGATAAGTTATCATCCGAAGGAACAAGGTTTAGATCAATTTTAATATTGTATTCTTAACTGGCGACGGGTGAAATATATATATATATATATATATATATATATATATATATATATTTATATATATATATATATATATATATATATATATATATATATATATATATATATATTATATATATATATATATATATATATATATATATATATATATATATATATATATATATATATATATATATATATATATATATATATATATACATTTATATTTGTGTATTTGTGTTTATTAAGATGCTATTTGAAGTCTCTATGGTTTTATCACAAAACACCGCGGAAGAGCATTTGACGAGGAAGATCATTATCAGTTGATTACCAATGTTGTTTCATTACCGATGTCGTTCATTGGGCTAGAGTTGACGTTAAATCTGGTTTTGAGCCTGAACTCTAAAAAGAACATTTAGGTTCTGATCCTGAACTCTAGCTATTGCGCAACAGCTGCGTTTTCTTTTTTTTTCTTTTTTTTTTGTAAAAATTTAACAAATTTTTATTTTTCTGAAATACTTAAAGTACGCTTTTTTCATGTGTGTTTCTCAATTATTAATTTTACTATGTTGTTGTAGATTTATTATTATTTTTGCACATAGATCGACTGATTTTTTTTTTGAATTAATATTATTTATTGCACCTGCAGATATAACATTCAAATTTTGCCGGCACTGCCGGATGTTACAGGTTGCCATAAAAATTACTCTTCAACTAGAAAGATTTCATTATTTTATTACGAATTCCTTTTTAAAAGCAAAATCTGACGAAATTTCTCCACAAGTAATAAGCTCCGTTGAACGTTCGAGTTTATAGGACCGTTAAACGTTTCTACGTTTCTACGTTTTTTTACTTCATGTTTTGGAGCAACGTAAATTAAGTGGCATTTTTTCTTATAAATTAATTAACTTGTTGTCAGACTCATACTTTACTTTTTCTTTAAACCAATTGTATATTTTTTTACAAAATTAGTAAAAATATTATATAAAGTTAAGAAAAATTTATTATAGAGTATAAATCGAAAAAATTTCAATATTGTTTTTTCGAATTTAACGTAGGGTAGAGTGGGGTGTTAATATAGTTTAAAAAGTATAACAAGTTTAACAAGTATTACTATATAGTTTATTGATAGCATATAAACATTGCGGTAAATATGAAGAAATATACGATTGAACAAGACATCTTCATTGTTAAAAGTTATTTTAAGTTTAGTGAAAATTATGCATAAGTTAGAAAAAAACTTAGTACAAAATATGGAAGAAATTGTCCAACAAACTCCACCATTCTAAATAAATTTGAATAAGTTTAAGGAAACTAGTTAATTTAAGATCAAAAAAATAAAGTTTACAGTCGTAGTGGTTGTTCTCTAGAAAATTTTGTTGGTGACGAACAGATAAGTGAAAATGCGTATAAAAGACACTATTTATACGAGATTGATCATATTTATTGCTTATCAATTATTGATCATGTTTATTGCTTTTCAATTAGTTCAACTCTTTATTGCTTTTTAATTGGTCTAACTATTCAGTCGCAGCTTCATTACACTACTGCACGTGAGGAACTGAGCATAGGGTTCAATCTCAGCAGGTAAAAATAAGTTGTCAAATATGTTTTATCTATTATGCAGTTTTACCCATGTTTGGAGTTACCCCGCGTTGCCATTACCCCACTCTGCCTTAAACTAAATACCAAACATTTTTATTAACTGTATGAAATTTACTTCTATGTATATAAAACAGTATATTGTTATTTAAGTATACCATACAAGGTGAAACTTTCACCCAATCCGTCCAGTTATCATTTTCTGTTTTGCATTCAGAAGAAGTTCCACATGTTAACGGACAGTTCTCTCTAAACGTTGGGTTATCTTTGCAATCAGAGACGCGTTCTTTACAAATGCTCCATTTATCTTTTACATCATTACATGCTTTTGAAATTTTGAAGGTAATGGCAGAATTAAGCGTCTGATGGTTTTCACTTGAAGATAACTCTTGTTTTTTAGGAAATCCATCTAAATAAATTTAATGATACTTATCGTTTAATGATATACAACATTTTCTAACGATTCCTAAATTGATCCCAAGCTAAAGTTATTTAAATAAAACTACTTAAAACCTCTGTTAAATTTTGTTTAAATATAACCATTTTTCTAAAAATTTTAAAGCACAACCACTTTCTGGAAAATTTAAATTTGTTTTCATTACATGAAATTTTTAGATATAATTTTATATATAATAAAATTTTTTACTTGCGTTACGGAAACCTTGTAATAATATTATACTGCGTTTCCGTTAAGGAGAAACCATTTATATCTTAATTGGTGTTTCGGTAAATAATAATAGTTAATTTCACGTAAATAAAACCCAATACTTGACACATGCTATTCTTTTTATTTTGAACCTTAGACCATTAAAGCTGATAGACACAACGTTTTCGTAAATCTTTGAAGCCAAAATTTTTTATAGAATGTCACTTTGTGGCAATAAACTAGAAAAAACAAACTAGTAATAAGATTTTATTTAAATTTTTTAGAAATATTCTTTTCATTAGAAATATATAGAATATATTTTTATGCGATTTATTCTTATAAAGACTAAATATAGTAATTACTATGTCAATTCTTTAAAACTATTTATTAATTACTGTTGTAATAAATACAAACTCTCATTCGTGAAATAATATATCTTTACCACTTTTACTTCTTTTTGTGCAATTATATACACTCTAATTAAGATTAATTAAAAAATATAAGATAAATGCAAAAGCAATCTCGACCTAAAAATGATTTTTTTGCTACAAACTGACGTCACTAAGCAAAACTTTTTCCGGCTTCACTTTTAGATTAGCATTACATAGCTAACGCCGTGTCTACCAGTTTTAATGGTCTAAGTTTTGAACACGCAACAGAAACATGCCTAAACTCCTACTATTACGGATTTGTGCCGGTTGCCGACTGGGTTTACGAAAAAAAATAAAAAAATTCTTAAGTAAACAGTACAATTTATGTTGAATTAATTTAGAAACAAAATAATACATATTTTTGTTTGGGTGAAAGTCAAGTTTAAGCAAATAACATAAGTAAAACCATTATCTATAAATGTTAAATAAACTGTTAAATAAAAATAAGATTTATGTAATTAATTTTTAAAAATTTAATTAAATTTATCTAATTAATTTTTTAAAAATTAATTAGATTTATCTAATTATTCTTTATAAGTTAAATTTTTATACATTTAAAAAAAAAAAACTTATTATAACATTAATCTACCATCTTTTTTTTTATTTTTGTTTTTAGATTTGTTTAAAGTTTAAATGAATTCATAGATTTCTTTTGTTTATACCTTTGACTGGTTTTTTTATGTAATCTTTATAACTTGTTTCCACTTCTTGACGTGGAGTGTATCTTGCAACAACCCATACATTGCCATGCGCTGTTACAATTCCAACACCAACATTTTTTGCTGTCTTCCACAGCAGCTGAAGCATATGACCAGCTTTTGGGTCAAATTTGATATTATTAAAATCGTAATGTGTTTTCAGTCTTTCTCTATTTAACAAAAAATAAAAAGAAATAATAAAGAATTAAGCACTTGAACCTCGTTCAAAATAAAAAAAAAAAAATTTATTGTTAAAAACATACTTATACCATTCATAGACTGCATCAATGCACCGTAAAGAAGTGTCACCATTTATAAGAAATATGTTTTCGCCGTAGTTATTCATATCAGAGTGTTGTATATCATTTTTTAATGCTAAATGTGTTGCCCACTTTGTAGCACCGTAAGCAAGTTCGTCATCCCATTTCAATTCACTTGTATTGTGCCAGAATTTCCTAATATTGTTGTGTGCAAAAAGACATTTTTCTGGTTCCCGAACAAATTGAAAATTAATGAAATTAATTTCTCCGTTTACAATTGCAATAAAATATATAGTTAAAAATGAAATATATTGTTTAGTATTTACATTACGCCAAACCATGTTCATATTTTAACGTTAACCGTTTTAACTTTTATAAGTCCTAAAAACAAAAAAAACATTTCATTAAACAGTTCTTCGAAAGCGGTATTTTTTTTTTCTTTTATGAGTTTATAGTTTCCATAAAGATACAGCGTTCATTACAAAACATGGCAAAACATCATTTAATATGTTTTTTAACCGCTTTTCGCACCAATGTTGCTTTCACTGCGACATACATGAGCTTAGCACACTTTTTTTTTACTTCTTTATTAATTCAATTTCAAAATTTAATCATTTGCTTTTATCCTCTTATTCAATTGTGTATTTAACTTTGAGGTACGCAGATGATAGCCGCAATTTTCCAGTAAAGAAAAAGCCATGCGTTCTTAACAAACACTAAAAAACTAATACCTCGCCAATACACAATTAAATTGTAAGATAAAAGCAAAAGAATAATTTTTTTAAAGCTAAATACAAAAATAAATTTTAAGTTAATTTCATAGACTATAGCGTTAAAAAGTAAAATAAAAGAAACTAAAAAGATAAAAGTAATTTTTTTTATATGTATATAGTTTTTTTTTTGGACTGAAGATGATTTGATAGAGAATATGTAAATTGCGATTGTTTTAATGTAGCTCTTTATTTGGGCAATAAGTGAGGGTTTTCCTATATTATGAATATAAATACCTTCTTTAATCTTTTAATTAACTCATATTTTGAAGAAGCTTGATTTAAGATGGAAAAAGATTCGTAGTTGGCTGAATTTTTTTTTTAAGGATGCCAAAAGGTGTTTGTTAAATAATGAAGACTTTCTCCAGTTTAAATTTTCAGATCTTGTTGAATAATATCTTATTTTAGTAAAAGCATATTTTGCAACAATTATGCAACAAGGTATTTTTGAAACTAGCGAACTAACATTTATGTAAATGTATAAAAAGTTTGTTTCGTATAATTTTGTAAAAAGGTTTCAACAACCATTTTGATTTTATTTTTACATTATTTTTGGACGCACCCAAAAATTGACATAGAACAAGAAAAATTAGTAACAAGAAATGTTTTTGTAAATAATAAAATACAAGCTTACTTTTGAATGTTCGACAATTACAATAAGCAGTTAAATTACAAATAACAAGTAACAAATAAATTACAATTATTAGTCTTGAAACTTAAAATAAAATAACTTGATGAAATACGTCATTAATGTCAACTAAACGAATAATTATCCATGACAGCTTCTTGTTACTCAAGAGATAGCGAAAATTCAGTTTTAACTTTGACATAGTGAACCCAGAAAAAAAAGTTCTTTAGAATTTCTAGAAACTTTTGAAACATATGGCCTATAAAAATTATATAGAATTTCTATAGAATTTTTATAGAATGTCTATTAATTTCTATAGAAATTGCTATAAAACTTTTTTCTCTATAGAAAAAAAAGTAGATTTGTAGCGGTAGAGAATGATATCAGGAGTTAGAAAATGGCGAGCAGGTGGAAGAAAAGCGACCTATATATATATTTATATATATATATATATATATATATATATATATATATATATATATATATATATATATATATATATATATATATATATATATATATATATATATATATATATATATATATATATATATATATATATATATATATATATATATATATATATACCCAGCGGGCACAGACGTGAATTAAACGTCTTACGGACGTCTTAACTAGGTCGCGACGTCTCAGACCAAATTAGGACGTCCTAAAGACGTCTGGTAAAGACGTCTTTGTTAGGACGTCCTTGTGACGTTAATATAAAGACGATATCAGGACTTGAATATTTAGACGTCCTATTGACGTCGCTAAGACCT